AGGAAGCAGAGCACCAGAGCGAGAGAGAGAGAGAGCGGGAGAGAGCGAGGGAGAGCGAGAGAGAGCGAGAGAGAGCGAGTGAGAGCGAGAGAGAGAGAGAGAGAGAGAGAGAGAGCGAGAGAGAGCGACAGAGAGCGAGAGAGAGCAAGAGAGAGCGAGAGAGCGAAAGAGAGAGAGAGAGAAGAGAGAGAGAGAGAGAAGAGAGAGAAAGAGAGATAGAGAGAGAGAGAGAGAGAGAAGAGAAGAGAAGAGAAGAGAAGAGAAGAGAAGAGAGAGAGCGAGAGAGAGAGAGAGGGAGAGTGAGAGAGAGAGGAGAGAGCAGAGAGAGAATAGAGAGAAGAGAGAGAGGAGAGAGAGAGAGAGAGAGGCAGAGATAGAGGCAGAGAGAGAGAGGCACAGAAGAGAGGCAGAGAGAGAGAGAGAGGCAGAGAGACAGAGGCAGAGAGAGAGGCAGAGAGAGAGAGAGAGGCAGGGAAAGAGAGGCAGAGACAGAGAGAGGGCAGAGAGAGAGAGAGAGACAGAGAGAGCAGAGAGAGCAGAGAGAGAGGCAGCTCAGTCACACTTAAATCCAGATTCGTCCTCACCGAGTCCCACCACCAAGGGAGCGCCAGCAAGGAGATGCACATATGGGGATCCCCACGCAGTGAATAATTGTTCCCCTCCTCCTTGTTCTACGAAATGCCGGCCCCGAACGCCCCTCTCCGCCGTGCCCTGCTCGCATGCCTGGACCTGCGCAAGGGCACGGCGGCCACGTGCCCAATTTACCCTCCCCTCTCCCCCGCGAAAAGGGAGGCCGAGGTGTGGGAAGAAGCCAGGACGAGAATCAAATCGGGGGAGGGATAATCCATAGGATTCCCGGAGAAATCCATCGGATTCCATGAACATCCATGGGATCCCCCAAGAAACCATTAGGTTTCCGTAGAGCAGGTGCACGGATCCCTAGGAAGTCCATAAGAGGAGGAAGAGGAGGGATCCCACGACCAGTTCTCCAAAAAACTCTGACTCGGGACATTACCAGCCCGTCGTCGAGGCCACCGCCGCAGAGAAGACGAAGCCAGGACGAGGACGAAAAATCAGGGAAGGAATCCAGCATCTCCGAGATCCAGCGGCCCTCGAGGGTGTCTCGGGCGCCAGGGCCGTCTCGGAGCATCCCGGAACGCCGTGAGAACGCTCCGGCACGCTCTGGGACGGACTGATGCTCGTCCTGACCGCGTCCAGAAATGTGCCCCTGGAGCGTGCTCCGCAAGTGCAGCCGGGAGACCTCGAGTCGGAGCGGGAGCGCAAGGAATCGCAGTCTCGAAACTCTCCATCTCCCCGCCCTCCCATCCCGTCCGTCCCCCCCCTCCCCGTACTCCTTTTTCCTCCTCCTCCTCCTCCTCCTCCTCCTCCTCCTCCTCCTCCTCCTCATCATCATCATCCATCATCATCATCATCATCATCATCATCATCATCATCATCATCATCATCATCATCATCATCATCATCATCAGCAGCATCAGCATCATCATCATCATCATCATCATCATCATCATCATCAGCAGCAGCAGCAGCAGCATCACCACTACCACCACCACTACCACCACCACCACCACCATCATCATCATCATCATCATCAGCATCATCATCATCATCATTAGCATCAGCATCAGCATCATCATCATCATCATCATCATCATCATCAGCAGCAGCAGCAGCATCAGCAGTAGCATCAGCAGCATCACCATCATCATCATCATCATCATCAGCAGCATCATCATCCTCATCAACATCATCATCATCGTCACCATCATCATCATCACCATCATCATCGCCATAAGCATCATCATCAGCATCATCAGCATCATCATTATAGATAGCCGATGTCCTCTCCTCCTCCTCTTAGTATGGTTACGTTATTGTTGTTGTTCGCCGTATGAGTAGCACTCGTAGTAGCATTCTTCGTTGTAGGATGTATTATTGTTCACATGATAGCACTGTCATTACTATTACCCTTGATATTAGTATTACTTATGCCGGGTCGTCTTGATTGATCGCCGTGGTCATACTTGTCCGAATACCACGAAAACCATTCGATCCCATGTATTCTCCTTTATCACTCGCATTACTGATCAGCCGTCGATCTCGTCCCCGACAGCGCGCCAGCTCTGCACCCGAACTTTCGAAAGCTGCAGCAGTCCTGCTGCCCACGCAAGTGAGCCCTCTCAGGCACGAAATACGAGTCAGCATGACTCAAGGGGGCCAAGGACACACAAATAAATACACACAAATAAAAGGATCCCCCATATTTTCAAATATTTTCTGGGTTTTTGTCTTCCCGCCCAAATCCCATATTTCCCCATATTTTCTCGGGAATCGACGATTAATTGTATCTGTGTTTTTCCCCTCCTGAATGACAGGCCGCACCTGGGGCTGCGCGCTGCCGCGCTCGACAGGAGGGAACACGCACGGCTGCGGCAATGCCCTGGCATGGATTGCGCATGGCGCCACTGAAGGGGCCCTGGAACACACCAATAAATACACACAAATACAAATATTCCCCATATTTTCCCATATGTTCTGGCCTTTCGTCTTCCCCCCCACTTCCCATATGTTTCCATATTTTCTGGAGAATCGACGCTTAATTCTGTCTGTGTGTGTTTTCCCCAGATCGCAGCCCCCAAGGGATGGCGAGGTCAAATTTGGGTCCGCGCGTGGCGTCACTGTGCTGGGCCCCCCAGCGGGCATCGAAAGTGGCGACAATTTCGCAGATCGCAGCCCCCCAGGGATGGCGAGGTCTAATTTGGGTCCGCGCGTGGCGTCACTGTGCTGGGCCCCCCAGCAGGCCTCGAACGTGGCGACAGTTTCACAGATCGCAGCCCCCCAGGGATGGCGAGGTCTAAGTTGGATCCGCGCGTGGCATCACTGTGCTGGGCCCCCCAGCAGGCCTCGAAAGTGGCGACCGTTTCACAGATCGCAGCCCCCCAGGGATGACGAGGTCTAATGTGAGAGTCTGCCAGTGGCGTCACTGTGCTGGGCCCCCCAGCAGGCCTCGAAAGTGGCGACAGTTTCACAGATCGCAGCCCCCCAGGGATGGCGAGGTCTAATGTGTCAGCAGCAGGCCTCGAAAGTGGCGACAATTTCGCAGATCGCAGCCCCCCAGGGATGGCGAGGTCCAATTTGGATCCGCGCGTGGCGTCACTGTGATGGGCCCCCCAGCAGGCATCGAAAGTGGCGACAGTTTCACAGATCGCAGCCCCCCCCCCAGGGATGGCGAGGTCCAATTTGGGTCCGCGCGTAGCGTCACTGTGCTGACCCCCCAGCAGGCCTCGAAAGTGGCGACAGTTTCACAGATCGCAGCCCCCCAGGGATGGCGAGGTCTAATGTGAATCTGCCCGTGGCGTCACTGTGCTGGCCCCCCCCAGCAGGCCTCGAAAGTGGCGAAAGTTTCACAGATCGCAGACCCCCAGGGACGGCGAGGTCTAATTTGGGTCCGCGCGTGGCGTCACTGTGCTGGGCCCCCCAGCAGGCCTCGAAAGTGGCGACAGTTTCACAGATCGCAGCCCCCCAGGGATGGCGAGGTCTAATTTGAATCTGCGTGGCGTCACTGTGCTGGGCCCCCCAGCAGGCCTCGAAAGTGGCGACAGTTTCACAGATCGCAGCCCCCCTCCCCCCCCCCGCCCCCCAGGGATGGCGAGGTCTAATGTGGTCTGCCCGTGGCGTCACTGTGCTGGGCCCCCCAGCAGGCCTCGAAAGTGGCGACAGTTTCACAGATCGAAGACCCCAGCAGCCTCACAGACAGCAGTCGCAGCCCCCCAGGGTGCGAGGTCTTTGAGAGTCTGCCCGTGGCGTCACTGTGCTGGGCCCCCCAGCAGGCCTCGAAAGTGGCGACAGTTTCACAGATCGCAGCCCCCCAGGGATGGCGAGGTCTAATTTGGTCTGCCCGTGGCGTCACTGTGCTGGGCCCCCCAGCAGGCCTCGAAAGTGGCGACAGTTTCGCAGATCGCAGCCCCCCAGGGATGGCGAGGTCTAATTTGAGTCTGCCCGTGGTGTCACTGTGCTGGGCCCCCCAGCAGGCCTCGAAAGTGGCGACAATTTCGCAGATCGCAGCCCCCCAGGGATGGCGAGGTCTAATTTGAGTCCGCGCGTGGCGTCACTGTGCTAAGCCCCCCAGCAGGCCTCGAAAGTGGCGACGGTTTCACAGATCGCAGCCCCCCCGCAAGCAAGACAGGAGGAGGCAAGAGGGAGGCGGGACGGGAAGAAGGGAGTGGAGACCACACTGCTCTATTCAAAACGAATACCCAACCAAGGAGGGTTGGGAAAGATTCCAACATGGTTGGAAAAAATGCTCAAAATCGTCCCCAGACTATTTTTTGCTGATGTTTGAAGATTCCCCCTGCAGAGGAGCAGGCCCGACTTAATCCCATGTCCTGCCGCCACGGGATGGCATCGTCTATCTCGAAGGTTGGGTGCTCTGGCATGCTGGTTGGTGGGAGCCCTCCGCCGCTGGGAATGTGCAGGGCCTTCTCTTTTATAATCTTCGTTGCTGGACAGCGCAGCCTCGTCCGCTCGAGGTGTCCAATCCAATCTTCCTCCCCTCTCCACTCCCCTCCTCCTCCTCCGCCTATTCCTCCTCCTCCTCCTCCTCCTCCTCCTCCTCCTCATCATCATCATCATCATCATCATCATCATCATCATCATCATCAGCATCATCATCATCATCATCATCATCATCATCATCATCATCATCATCATCATCATCATCATCATCATCATCATCAGCAGCAGCAGCAGCAGCATCATCATCATCATCATCATCATCATCATCATCACCATCATCATCATCATCATCATCCTCTTCATCCTCCTCCTCCTCCTCCTCCTCCTCCCCCCTCCTCTTCCTCCCCCCTCCTCCTCCTCCCCCTCCTCCTCCTCCTTCTCCTCCTCCTCCTCCTCCTCCTCCTTTCCATCCTCCTCCTCGTCACCCTCCCGTCAACCCTCACCGGGCGCTCTGGAGGCGGGTCCTCGGGGTGCTCGGAGTAGCTGTCCGGCTCCCCATCGACGTCGGTACCCGTGAGCTGGACGGGGCGCCAAGGGGCGGGAGCAAAGAGAGGCGGCACCGCTAGACGAGGAAAAAACTGCACGAACAGAATCGCTCGGGCGTCCGCAGAATAATGCTAAAACAATGGTACGGTTAAGAATAGCATTAAGAACAAGAAGGCGAAACAAGAAACAGAAGACTGAGAAGAACATGCAACTCCACAACATATACAAGCGTTGGGGAGGGCACGCGGTGTTCCTGGACAGCGGCGCCTTCGGCGCAGCCCCCACTAGAGGAAGAGCAAACTGCATAAGCAGTAGCTGTCGGTGGTGTGCGCGGACTCTTCAGATCGGGGCCAGGCCACCCTCCCTGGATCGCGGAAAGCGGCAGGGGCGGCGCCGCAAGCGCCGCCAGAGGGGGGCCCAGAGCTGATCCAGGAAGACCGCGTGGACCCCGAAACGTTAATATTCATAGAGCTGCATTCGTCTTTTTATTATTACTGCTATTCGTCTTATTCGTCTTCTTCGTAATGTCATTGTTTCCCGCTTAGTAGAACTGTGAATAGGGTTCCTAGCATTAGAACGGTTAGTATCCAGAGTACCATTACGCATCAGCAAATTAAGAACGAATACATAAATACAACAGTCAATAAAACTAAGCATAATAAATTCATTCGAATACGGATAAGATTAAACAATGGTACAAGTAATAACGATACCAGTACTAGTGAAAACATGCTGGGTTGTTTGATCCTTTTTACTACGATTTGTTCTACTAACTAGACTAATGAACGTTAGAATAATGGTTGTTAGTAATCGTCTTCTTCTGCGAAACACCGCCACCATCTCGAGCCAGCATCGCCAGTCTCATCCCCATCCCCAGGGGGTCAGGACTCCTCATCGCCACCAGCCTACCCCGCCGACCCCCGAGGTCGGGATAGATGCCCCGAACTCTGTCGGAGACGGCACCTGTCCTCACCCATTGGGCAGGTCGGACAGCGGGGCCAAAGCTTCCCCACCAGCGATGGGGATGAGACTACAGATGCTGAGCAAGGATCGGGCCGGGCAAAAGGGGCAGATAGCAAGGGGGGGGAATCAGCTGAATGCAGCTGGTTGTTTCGGGCGCCTCGCGGCGCCCGAGGCGCCAGCGTGTCGAGCGCGTCGACGGAAGCGCCCGGCGGCCGCATGCAGCAGAATTCGTAACTCCCCCTTCCCGTCCCGTCGTCCGACTCCGCGAAAGGGCTTCTCGGGGGTCTCTTGGGAGACCCTCGTAGCCACGGCTGGGCGCAGAGGCCCAAGAGGAACAGGACGAGGAGGAGGAGAAGAAGAAGAAGGTACAGAGGAGGAGGAGGAGGAGGAGGAGGAGGAGGAGGAGGGGAAAGGCTCACGGAGCGTGGAAAAGGAGGTTGAGGCAGGAGGCAGGCTAGGCAGGAAGAAGGAGGAATGAGAGAGGAATGAGGAGGATGAGCTTTTTTCTTGGAGGATGAGGAAGATGAGGAAGACGAGGAGGTCGAGGAGGACCGTGGACGGGGCCGACTCTGAACTAGAGATAAGGCGGGCCCGTACTCATCGCGGGGAGTGGGAGGATTTGCCGCTTCACGCTCTCACGCCTGGGGGTGCGTCCAGGTGGCCGCCGAGTACGACCAGACGCCGTCCGTGCGCGCTGGCTGGGCGAGCGCGCAAGAAGGCCAATGCACCCTGCCTGCAGATAGAGAGTACCAAAGGCCTGAGGCCGACGACCAGGTGTCGTCGGCGCCGAGAGAGCCTGCAGAGATGAAACTCACCAGGCCACACGAAGGGGCTCCGCCTCTGTGGCCAAGCCAGGAGACTGCGCCCACGACGTGCCGAGAGAAACGACGAATCCATGAGGAGCCATGGTCGGGAAGTTCAGGGGCTGAACTGCCCCGTGACCCTGAGGCGAAACAGCATGCAAGAGACAGGCCCGCTGAGCAGCATCCCGCAAGGGAACGTTGCCTTCGGATCCTGCGACCGTGCATCAACAGGGAGAAAGCCGATAGAGCACAGCAGTGAAAAGGACGGCCCAACGAGCCCCAGACCGAGCCCACTGAACCCTACACAGCAATCACGTCAGCACTAGTAGCCGAGAAGCCGACCGACTGAGCAACAGCACCGCAGGAAAGAATCACCTTCAGCACCACACGGCTGTGCAACAGCAAGGAGTAAGCCGAAAAAGGCGCAGCAGTGAAAAGGACGACCCTGCGGAAGGCCCCAGATCGAGCCCACCGAACCCCAAACGGCAATCACGGCAACTTGAGGCGTCGGAGCCACAATAATGCCGGTGGAATCAGGAAAATTGCCTGAGCACGCTGAGAGCCTCCACGTCAAGCCGAACGACGTCCAGCTTGGGGTGCTTGCCAGCGCAGATCCGATTTCAGTAATACTTGCCACTGCGAGTCCTGCGCGGTCCGCCCAAGCATTGTTGGTGACGCAAGTACCTCCCCGTGGCGAAAGACGCGCATCGGCAGCACACAACGAGAAGGCTGCCGTCGGAGCACGAGAGACCCAGGCACATGTGGCCTAGCTCAGCCAGCCTGCGGCCGACAAATTTATGCGTCTTCGAACACGCACTGTTGTGGGGCCACAACACCCGCGAGGCCATCAAACATTGCTTGCACTGCCAGCACTGCTCGTGCCACACCCACTCGTGCCTAGACTTCGGCACAGCAGGAATATCTCGCCTGGCTCTGGTGGCAAGTGAGAGGCCGCACGAAGGCCACAGCGGGAGCAGCCGAGCAGCGAGAACACATATCTTCCTGGCGATGGCCAGGGCTCTGTCCAGCCACTCGGTCTGCTCGGGGCTCGGCTTCTCGTGAGCCAAAGCCCCAAGCTTAGCGAAGTGGTCCGCCAGGTCCTTACCTTTCTTATAAAACTCGAGGAACGGGTCTCCCTCCACCTACTCCTGCGTCATATGGCCCTTCACTTTGTGGATGGGCCCGACCTTGACTCCGCTGTCCAAACCGACGTGCCAGAGTACACTCTGCGGAACGAAAGCTGCTGTTGCCTGGGAGACGCCCAGGCCCAGACCACGTTCTGACAGTCGCTGTATCTGAACGCGCCGTCGAACGCTTTCTGGCACGCGGCGGTGCACGCTGCAAACTCGCCAACCTGAGCCGTCTGGGGGATGGGGAGAGCGAGAGGAACGTACACATGACCCAACTCCTGCCCAACATCGGATAACGAGGCATATGACCACCCCATCCTCGAGACCTCATTGATAACCGAACGAAAGCACGACCCATCCATAAACACACGTCCACCCACCACGTAGTCACCATGGCCGTCAACATGGGAGAAAGTAGGCTCGGCCACGGTCGGGGAAGGGAAGAGATCACCTGGACGCGGGAAGATGCGGTACGTATACAGCACCTGCCATGCCTTGCCCATCGTGTCCAAGCCCGAGGACCAAAACTTCAGGCCGTCCCCGAACAGGTTGGCGTGCGTGGCAGAAGTCGTCGCCGAGCAAGTCGGCGCGCGTGGCAAAGCAGTCCGGGTGCTGGCACGACCACACCCTGTGGAAAAGGGCGCTCTTATCCTGCAAACTCATGGGGAAGAAGACCAAACCGGGCAAACCATATCCGAGCTCGTCCGCGCGAGTCTTGGTCCACGTGGCCTGGCAAGCGAGCCCACGGATACAGCCTTTGTATCCCAAAGGGTGAATCTCGGCGACGACATGGCGGCAGTGAGCACATCCATGCAGGCGCGGCGGGCCAAGCCCAAGCTGTCTCCGCAGGCTCGCCCGTGGCACCTCAAAACAGCTTCCTGAAGTAAACGTTTGAGGGGGGCGGGAGAGACCAGCGTGAGGGGGGGTGGCGGTGCCCTTGTCATCGGCCAAAGTCGTGAACCCCGCCACCTTCCAACCCAGACGCTCCACCGAAGGCCTCACGGTCCCCCCCCCAGAGCCTGAAGCCTTCCTCCAGGGAGGCAGAGGCCCCGAGAAGCCAAACTCCCAGGCCCTGCGAAGGGACGAGGGGGACAAACCAAACTCACACGCCCCGACCAGCTTGGTCCAGACTGCCTTGGCCCAACGGACGATCGGAGCCACGGCGCAGTACCAAGTGGGGTCGGCGGCGAACAACAAAGATGCGGTGAGAGAACGTCCTCCCGCAGTGGGGGGAAGCCATCTCCCCAATGATCGCCGAATGGTGATAAGCTCCTGGTCCGAGGTGCCATGCACCTCGCACCCGCACGTCCTGCTAGCGAGGGCCCCAGTCGTGAATAACCTTTTTTAGCATGACGCCCGAGGTAAGACTTGGGAAGCGACAATTCCTGAGAGCAACCCGACGAACTCTCAGCTTGGACCCTCGCCTCGCAGTCCTGATAGACCTGCCCGAGGAGGCGCCAAGAGGCCCCTAAGAAGCTCCAGGAGGCCCCCAAAAGGCCCTCACGAGGACCCCAAGAAGCTCCCAAGCGGCTCCCAAGCGGCTCCAGGAGGCCCCCCAAATGCCCCCCCGACCACTCTAGCAAGTGCCAGCGATGCTACAATATGGGCAGCGAGCACAAAGAAATTCTGGGAAACTTCTGCACAGCGCTCCGTCGACCCTCCTCAGGCACTCCTCCTCCTTCTCCTCCTCCTCCTCCTCATCCTCCTCCTCCTGATCCCCTCCTCCACTCCTCGATGGAGCGGTCCATCGCCGGGTGGGAGTCGCATTAGGCTCCAACAGAAACCCAAGAGGCCCCCAAGAAACCCCCAACGAGGACCCCAAGCGGCCCCCAAAAGCCCAAACGCCAGCGAGGGCACAATACGGGCCGGCGGAATGAGCGAGGCGATGAAATGACTTCGCGCCCTCGCAGGCGCCCTGGAAAAACCTCGGGTGGCCGTGTCTTTCCACGGCTCGGAGGCCTGCCACTTCAGAACAGGTCAGCAAGAGCGACATCGGGCCGGGCCAGGCCCGAGACTCCGCTGGGGGGCAACACATGCGAGCCCAGCCCCTGCCCCCCGCGATTTCCGAGGGGGAGGGTGGGGCTCCCTTCGCTCGTGACCTCCCGAGCGAAGTGAGCCCCACCCTCCCTCTCAGAAATCGTGGGGGATGGGGGGCAGGGTTCGCAGGTGGCCCCCTATCCGCCGTCCCCTGGCCAGGGGTCGGGTCAGCTCGCGCGCGCGCAGGGGGGCCGCGCGCGCCCGAGAGCGGGACGCGCGCCGACGGAGAGAGCGCGGCGCGGCACCGCGCGACCCCTCTGCGACACGCACTGCCGGCCGAGCGGCCGCGAGGCGAGGCCCAGAGGCCTGCAGCCGTCGCGCGGGCAGCGGGGAGCGCGGGAGAGGAGGCCCGAGAGGATGTTCATGGCCACGGCGAGCTTCGGCCGCAGAGGAGTTCTCACCGTCCAGACCTGCGGGGCCGCTGCAAAAAACACACACACACACACACCTCTGTTCCTCGGCCCCCAGGAGGGCCCTGCCTCAGCGCATGGACTGTGAGAGACAAGGCTCTGGAGCCCTCCCCTCTGGGCGCAGAGACGCCTCTGTTCGCATGTGCCGTGTCAGTACTGGTTCTGGTAGTAGCGTGAGGGGTGAGAGGTGCTCTCGGTACGTGCCCTACCTATTAGCGTTGTGGTATACCATTGCACTTCGTGCGCAACCCTGTGCCAGCGAGAATAACCCCGCGAGAGTCTGGGATCTAGGAAGGATGTTAAGTTTCCAAGAGGGAAAAACAGATTCCTCATGGTGCTCTGCATGATGTAAGGATGAAAGCTACAATGCGAATATTGGGGGTGGTATCAAAGCTCACCCCCCGCCTGTCGTGGCAAATTGAACCATATGGAGCCCAGGGATAATCAGATATAACAGGTTAGAGGGGGGACGGGTATTATCACCATCGGCATGCGGTTATTCCGATTCCTATTTACCCAAAGAAGCCCGGTGTTTGCACTTGGGGTTTCTTATTTCTCTTTTGAGGGACTGGGCCTGCGGGTCGGTCTGGCGGATGTGTTGTCGACGTCGCCGCCCCGTCGCGGACTTGATGCCGCCCGTCGTTTCGGCATGCGGGTCGGTATGGCGGCTATGTTGTCGCCGTCACCGCCGTCAGTCGCCGCTGCTTCTGGGCCTGGCTGCTTGCACTGAGGGGTCCTGAATTGTGCTGTAAGGTAACTGGGCCCCGGTATCGGTCCGACCAACTCGTCCCCGCCAGTCGCCGCCGTCGCCGCTGGGCCACAGTGGCGGTCCCACTGGCTCGCCGCCGCCCGTCGCCGCTTTGCTTTGAATTGCATTGTCTTGCGGTGCGTTGCGTTGGGTTGCGTTGCGTTGCGTTGCAACGCTTTGCACTGCCTTGCATTGCTGTGAAATCCTTTGCATTGCTGTGCATTGGTTGACAATCGCATTGCCTTGCAGTTCGTTCCAATCGCATTGCATTGCTTTGAAATTGCAGTGTGTCGCGTTACTTTGCATTGCTCTGCACTGTGTTGCGTTGCGTTGCGTTGCTTGGCGAAGCATGACACTGGTTTGCATTGTGTTGCGTTGTTTTGCTGTGATGTGAATTGTAATCGCATTGTACTTGCATTGTGGTTTTGTTGAACATTGCGTTGTAGTGATCTGCTCCACCAAGATTGCACAACATGGAGGTGGAGGAGGAGGGAGCGAGGAGGAGGGGGAGGAGGAGGAGGAGGAGTGATCTGCTCCACCAAGATTGCACAACATGGATTGAGCAACCTGGATTTCACCACCTGGCCTGCACACCTGGATTGCACAGGACAGATTGCACGACATCACCGTTGGAGGTTCACTCCCGCTGACATAGTCTTCTTCTTCGCAGTACCCTTGTTCGTCGTATTGTAAGTACGATTGTTCGTCCTATGCGTATTAGTCGTATCATTAGTAATCGTTTTTTCGTGCTATCAATATTCCGAAGTCTTGTTATGATTGGGTTATGGCTATGGTATGACTATGGTTATGAATAGGTTATGGTTAGTATTCAAATTCAGGATGTTCTACGTATTAGGGGTCTGGTTATGCTTATAAGTCTTAGTATGAGTCATCGTTGTGTTGATTGCTTATGTCCTTCTCATTGCTAGCATTCTGCATCGTAGTCCTGTTTTTCGCAATGTAAAATGTTTTGGGGTGGGGCGACGAGCGGCGGCGGCGTGAAGGCGGGCGGGGGGCGATATCCTCCAGGTCCACGGCGACGTACCTTCCAACGGGCGGCGCCCGGACGGGAGGGGGGAGGGCGGCAAGGAAGAAGAGCAGGAGGAGGGGGGAGCCGTTTTCGCGTCCACCGCAAGCGCACTCACCACGTCCGTCGCGGGCCGAGCCGTGCGCGTGCAAGAGAAGCGAGGGGAGCAAGGCCGAGGGAAGGGGGAGCAGGAAGAGCAGCAGGAGCATCAGGAGGGGAAGGCGGCAAAGAGAATGGGGGCTTTTCCTCCTCCTCCACCTTCTCCTCCTCCGCCTCCTCCTCCTCCTCCTCCTCCTCCTCCCCCTCCTGATCCTCCTCCTCCTCCCCCTCATCCTCCCCCTGGGAGGGGCGAGGGCGAGGGGGAAGGGGGAGGAGGAAGGGGGGCGGCAGCGGGGGCAGGGAGCAGGGGAAGCAGGCGGGAGAGGAGCACGAGGAGCGCACGGGGCAGCGAGAGATGCGACCACACACTTTTTTGATTCGCGGGTCGAGAGCGCACCTCTTCCGGTCGAAGCTAAGCGGGCCGCGCGAAGCTTGAATTCACGAAGAGGGGGGGACAGAAGGAGAGGCCTCACGTCAAGGCCAGGAGGAGGCAAAGCCTCGGGATCAGGCGGTGCCGAAGACGATGTGCTTGCAAAGGAACGAGGTGCGACCACACACGCATCGGACACGCACGAGGACACACAGGACGGAAGCACGAGGAGCGCACGGGACAGGAGCACGAGGAGCGCACAGGACAGCGGAGAGTGGAACAATCTATACAGGGGGGTCCAGAGCAAGCACCCGCTCGAAGATTCACCGTGTGGCTCACCCTCTGGAAGAGAAAAGGGGTGGCCCGAAGCCCTGCAGGCCCGCTCGCGGGCCCGATCCGCAACCCCGGCGTCCAGGGAAGCGGCTCCCCCAGGAGAGCCCAAGCAGGGCCAGGCCTCGCTGGAGAGCCGGTCTCGGCCCCGTGCTCGCAGGGTTCTCGAAGACAGGAGCCGCGGGGCGAGCCACATCGGACTCGGCACGGATGGGGCCAGAGCCACTCCGTGGCGGCCCAGGAGCAGCAGGCTGGACCAGCTCGGGAGGCTGGTCGAGCCCCAACTTCGGGGCTAAAAACATTGATGCCTCCGTCGGATAGCACAAACACGCGCCGTACACGGAGATGCCTCCTCGCGGGGCGAAGGCCACGCGAAGTCCAATCCAACTGGCGTTCACGCACAGGCGTCTCTTGCCCAGGCAACCCGACGCGAGGAGACTCCGACCCCAGTGGTCCCAAAACTGCACAGGTCGCCTCACGGCCAGTACAGAGCGCAAGCGCCCCCTGGGGTGACCAGACATATCAGTGGCCTTGGCTTCTAAAATGACGTGGCCTCGCGCAGGCCACACGTAGAAGACTCGACCAAATTGCCCGCGACTCCACCAAAAGAAACGGCTCTTCAACGACAGCACTCCCGCCCGCCCCGATCCGCCAAACCACTCCTGCCACCCATGAGAGGGAGAGGGAGAGGAGGAGGAGGAGGAGGAGGAGGAGGAGGAGGAGGAGGAGGAGGAGGAGGAGGAGGAGGGGATCAGAGTAGGGTGTGGGAAGAGGTGCACCCTTGGCACACGCAACGCTGCTTTCGACAACCCGCTCCCTTTCCACCATCGCCGCAAGGGATGGGACGAAATCAAAGTAGACCGACTTAACCCTGAAACTTCACCCCCATGGGGGCCGAGAAGGTGTACATTATCCGAGCCAACTCTTGGACCCTGAGGCAGACCTGACGAATCTCGAGAAGGCGCGAAAGAGCTGGCATGAGGCCTTCCTTCGCTAGGCCGTCCGCGAGCTCGCCACCTCGCCGCTGTTGGAAAGTGATGGCCCCATCGAGCATCTGAGCAACAGTAGTGTGAGATTGAATATTCACAGTTCTTAGGCCTTCTAATATGTCGCCGACCTCATCCAACCAATGGACCATCGGGCAGTGGCGGGGTCCACAACGCAACCAACAGTGCCGAACCGTGGAGGAGCCAGCTATCAGAACAAGCCTCGCATGAAGGCGTCGTCCTCGCCGTCTCTTGCTATTTGCTCGGGAGTCTTACTAAGCGGGATTGTCCCTAACATCGAACTGGTACAATCGCCATCCTCGTTGCCGATCAATGCAGCCCAGGACGCAACGCGGAGGTCAGCGAACGAGGTCTCGAACCCCGCCCCATCGGTGAAAATCGCACTGCCAGCTGGGAGGAGCAGGAGAAGGAACGAGAGGAGCAGGAGTAGGAGGGCAAGGGGAGGCAGGGAGGAACAAGAGGAGGAGTGGAGGTGGGACGAACACGACGACGACGTTCTTGGACGTTCTTGGACGATGCCTCGCGGGCGACGACAACGACGACGACGACGACGACGACGACGGCGACGAGTACAACCGAGTCCTCCTCCTCCTCCGACACACGTGGGAACAACAACGACGACGATCACCACCACCACCACGATAACCATTATTAAAACGCCGACAACGACGACCGCAACGCCCACCAAACACCACGACGACCACAGCCACGACCGCCACGAGGAAGAGGACGAGGACGAGGACAAGGACGGGGACGAGGACGACGACGACGACGGCGAGGACGACGACGACGACGACGACGACGAGATGACGACGACGGCAACGACAACGACGTCGACGAACCGCGTGAGGAGCTGTGGGGAGGGCGAGGGGCGGGGGCACCACGCATCTGGAAGCCGCTGCTCGAAGTCGGCCAGGAGGTCGTCGATGTTGTCCGCCCGGCCCTGCCAGGCAGAGGGAGGGGGTCGGCGGGGGCTGGATCGTTCCCTGCCTCTCTCAGGTATAACGCATTATCCTCCTCATCCTCCTCCTCCTGTTCCTCCTCCCCCTCCTCATCGTCATCATCATCCTCATCCTCCTTCTCCTCCTCGTCCTCTCATCCTCCTCCTCTTCCTCCCATTCCTCCTCCTCGTCGTCCTCCTTCGTGTCCTCCTCCTTTCCCTCTGCCTCCTCTTCCTCATCCTCTTCCTCTTCCCCCACCTCCTCCTCCTCCTCCTCCTCTTCCTCATCCTCCTCCACCACCTCCTCCTCCTCCCACCTCCTCCTCCTGCTGCTGCTGCACCTCCTCCTCCTCCTCCTCCTCCTCCTCCTCAGCCTCTTCTTTTTCGTGCTCGCCTTCTTCGTCTTCGTAATTGTCCTCCTCCTCCTCGTCCTCAGCTTCCTCTCCTGTTCCGCCTCTTGTTCCTCCGCCCGTTCATCCTCATCCTCCGTCTCCTCCTCCTCTTCTGCGTAGCATTAGTACTAGGATTAGCAATCACATTCGTAAATGTACGAATATCAATATTGATAGTATAATTCATAATAGTGGAAATACTAATATGGATGATAATAGTCGTATTCGTAATAGTAGTTGTAACACCAGTAACGATGTTCGCTTTATTGATTGTACTCGTACTCGCATCAGTACTTTTCGGAGTAGCAGTAGTAGTTGGATTACTGATGTTATTTGGCTTTCTTACCATCAAGGTTAATGTTGACTGTTGTTGAGAGTACTAAACATCGTCGTAGAAATGCGGTTGATATTATTATTACTAACAGTATAAGCATGACTAGTAGTGTTGTATACTACAGTAGTTTACTACATGAGCAGTACTAGCAGTATAAGCATGATTAGTGTTGTTAGTACGACTATAATCGGTATCAAGAATACTCCTATAATGCGGGCTCCTTCTCCTCCTCCTCCTCCTCCTCCTCCTCCTCCTCTTCCCCAACCTCCTTTCTTTCGCAACCCTGGAGCGCGCAGCGCTGGGCCACCATTCTCGGTGCAGCGGTCTGGTCACAGTCAAGAGCGCAGAGTCTGTCCTCAGCCAGTCTTCTGCTCCTCCTCCCACACTCTCACCCTCCCCCCATCCTCCTTACACGACTACAAAAATAACAGCGACGACGGCCATGACGACACGACGACCACGACGACCAACACCACGACTACCACAACGACCATGATGACGACAACAACAACGGCCACCACCACAACCGCAACGACCGCGGCAACGTCCACGCCGACGACCACAACCACAACCACAACCGCGACGACGATCACGGCGACGGCGACGGCGGCAGTGACCACGACGCCTAAGATTAAGTCGGGCGTGTCCCCCTGCAGGGGGGATCTTGGGCGAAAGATGAAAAATAGCCCAATTATTCAAAACACATCAATGCATATATATATATATATATATATATATACACACATGAAGTATTAAATAAACAGGAAAGAAACACGGCCCCGGAGTATTGTTTTAATATATGTTAAAATGCTCCTCCTGTAGAGGGACATGCCCGACTTAAGATGAAGACCACGACGACGGCCACGACCACGACCGCAACGACCCCAGCGGCGACGGCTGTGCCGGCGGCGACGCGCGGCGCCTCCATCGGGAACGGAGGGGCCGCAGTCCCAGGCGACGGGGGGGGAAGGGGCGCGGCGGCGGCCCCCCGCGCGCTGACGCACGGCGCGAGGCGGGCGGGAGACGCTCGAGGTTCGAGGATCAAAGGTTCGACGGTCCGAAAAAAATCACGTGCGCGAGGAGGAGGAGGAGGAAGAGGAGGGAGGAGGAGGAGGAGGAAGAGGAGGAGGAGGAGGTAACGAAGCTCGAGGACACAGGGCTCGAGGATCAAGGCCTCGGGCCTGGTTCTTGGCCCATCTCGGGCGGCCACGGGCGCTCCCGCCGCAACGCCCCGGTCCGCCCCGAGAAGATTGCCAGAGCAGGGCAGCGCACCCCTGGGAGAGGGTCCAGGGGGCACCAGAGGAAGCAAGGACGAGGGAGAGACACTCGATCTCACTCTTAGCATCTTCATCCTCCTCCCTCCTCCTCTCTGCCCCCTCCTCCTCCTCCTCCTCCTCCTCCTCCTCCTCCTCCCTCCTCCTCCTCCTCCTCCTCCTCCTCCCTCTCCTCTTCCTGCCTCCCCCATCAGCGTTATCGTCATTATCATCATCAGCATCATCAGCAGCATCACCACCACCACCACTATCATCATCAGCAGCATCAGCAGCAGCATCAGCAGCAGTACCATCATCAGCATCATTAGTATCGTCAGCATCATCATCATCATCATCATCATCATCATCATCATCATCACCACCACCACCACCACCATCATCATCATCATCATCATCATCACACTCACCGTCGCCACTACCACCACCACGATGATCTTAACCATCAGAGCCGCCATCTGTATCATAGTCAGCATGACCATCACCACCACCACCATCACCATCACCCCCAACACCATCATCACCAGTCACCAGAACCACCACAACCACCATCAACACCCTTCCAGATCCCTGGATGGGGCACCCCAAGAAGCGGAGCGTCTGGCCAAAGCACCCCCATGGGTGCAGGCGGGAGCACCCATCCTTCGGGGCCCAAGCCCCCGCACCCGGGCGTCCCTTCCCGGGGGGCCGCCAGGCCCCGAGCCCCCTCCCCCGATTGCACAACCCGCCCTCGCGGCCTCGCGACGGGATCGGCGGTCTGCCTCCCCCGCGTGCTCGGCCCCGGGGCCCTCACTCCTCCTCCTCCTCCTCCTCCTCCTCTCCTCCTCCTCCTGCTCCTCCTCCTCCTTCTCCTCCTCCTCCTCATCCTCCTCCTGCTCCTCCTCCTGCTCTTCCTCCTCCTCCTCCTCCTCCACCTCCTCCTGGGCGAGCGAAGGGGGCCCCTGCCCGCGCCAGGACCGGGGGGGGCCTTCAGGCCCCTGCCCGCCCGCGCGGAGGCGGGGCAGATCGGGGCGGGGCCCGCCGTAGGGCTTCTTTGGGGCTCGGCGCCACCGCGGAATGGGCGGTGAGGCCACGTCGCGCAGCGAGCGGGCGGCTGCCCGAGCCACGGCCATGGTATCCGCAGACGCTATGTCGCAAAAGGAGCCACATCGGCATCGCCACCGTCGGCGCCATCTTCTTCACTGATGCACCTCGCCGTCATCGACATCATGATGATCATCCGCACCATCATCGCGCTCATCATAGTTATCAACCTCACCATTACCTTTTCAGTCATCATCACATACCCCTCCATCATCATCGTCATCATCATGAGCATCACCACCACCACCACAACCAGCATCATCAGCATTATCATCATCAGCATCATCATCATCATCATCATCATCATCATCATCATCAGCAGCAGCAGCAGCAGCAGCAACAGCAGCAGCAGCAGCTTCAGCATCATCATCATAATCAGCAGCATCCTCATCATCACCACCATCATTATCATGATAATCGCCATCATCATCATCATCATCATCAGCATCATCATCATCAGCAGCAGCAGCAGCATCAGCATCCTTATCATCATCATCAATATCATCATCACCACCAGGATCGACATCGTCATCGCCATCGTCAGCATCATCGTGAGCATCGTCACTATCATCGTCAGCATCATCAACATAATCATAATCAGCATCGTCGTCATCATGATCGTCAACATCATCGTCATCATGTTCTTCGCCGCTGTCGTTATCATCATCAGCATCATCATTAGTAGCATCATCAGCATCAGCAGCATCATCAGCAGCAGTACCATCATCATCAGCATCAGCATCAGCAGCATCATCATCGTCGTCATCATCATCAGCATCAGCATCCTCATCATCATGAACAGCAGCATTATCATCATCAGCATCATCATCACCATCGTCATCAGCATCATCATCGTTATCATCATCAACATCATCATCAGCAGCATCATCATCGTCATCGTCATCGTCATCATCGTTATCCCCTCGGTGTTCCTCCCTCCACGTCCCTCCTTACACCTCCCCTCCCCCCTCCCCTTCATACGCCTACCCCCTCCCCTTCATACGATCCCCAAACGCATGCCATATGTAGGCAGGAATGTCCGGGCCAACGTGCTCACGGCTTGGCTTCCCCGTCTGACCGGGGCGCAGGGGGCAGACCCAGCAGAGCTCATCATTGGCCCCCGCGCAAGAACCCCCCGAAACAAGACAGCTCGACACACCACGAGGGTGCGCGGTGAATCACAAAGGTGGGCGCTCAAATGGCGGGCTTCCAACAACAACAACAACAACAACAACAACAGCAACAACAACCACAACGACAACGACAACGACAACAGCAACAACAGCAACAACAAAAACGACAACAAAAACAGGAGCAACAACAACAGCAATAATAACGACAACAACAACAACAGCAACAGCAACAGCAACAACAACACCAACAACAACAATAACAGGAGCAGCAACAGCACTAGCAACACCAACAACAACAACAACAACAACAACAACAATAACAGGAGCAACAGCAACAACAGCAACAACAGCACCAACAAACAAAACAGCAATAACAGGAGCAGCAACAACACTAGCAACACCAACAACAACACTAACAGGAGCAACAGCAACAGCAACAACAGCACCAACAACAACAATAATCACAACAACGGCAACAACAACATCATCAGCAACAAAACGACTGGGCTCCACGGCCGGGCTCCACCGTGCGGCCCCCTCGAGGAGCCGCCGCAGGCATGGGGCCAGAGCGTACAGGGCAGTTGTTAATACATAGGATGTTCAAAAACATAGGATTTTGAATACAGGTTTAATGTATGCATAAATTTATGCATGAACTCATCCTGGTTTTTAATACTAAGCCCCTGCATGTTAAATACATGATCCGCACGCGGAGCATGTATTAAAAACGGCACTGTACAAACCCTCCCCTCACGGAGGGACAGCGATCCAGGCAAGCAGCCCATTTCCA